TGAGCCATCTAAGCGGCCGGACCTCAGACAAGTATTAAAGCATGACAAAAATAGGAATCAGGAGACAGTTCCGCAACTGCTTTAAATTTGCAATGGCAATAACTTGAAGTGAACTATTCTTAGGCAAAACAAATAAAGGCTTACATGTCAGTAATTGACACGCATATCCGTAAAGCAAAAGCGTTAAAGGTTCATACGTGACTTCCTCTAACAGTTGAACAAGCGGATCACGTAAACTGATGACAATTTTCTTAATCCAGACTGGCTAAGGTCCTCATCTCACAGATCAATTTCGTTGTCGTTTAAACGACCGGAAAAACACACAATTTACCAAACTCAGACTTATCCAGACCCATTTGTCGTGGTAATGTTATAAATAACCGTGTATTAAAACTCAGGGGCACCCAGCGACTTTTTTTCTGTAAAACTGTTTGAAGGAGCAGAAAATATAGATGGTTTTCACAGTGACGTCATCAAATTGTAAAGTCAAAATAGCCAGGTTTTACAAATTCTTATTTACACTAGGTTGAAGATGAACACAAAGTAAATCTTTGCACAAGTTCCATTCCCGTAGCATGTCTCATTTCGAAAATACAGCATTTTGAACTTCCGAGTTTTCACAGTGCGTGACACCAGAATAGGAATGCTGCCTCGTTGAAAAAAGTCTCTCCTCTTGATTTTCTGCAGTTTTACCATTTCAAATGTTAAAAGATATGTTTATGCGTACGTATGCTAGTTCTCAAGTGAAAAGAAAGAACTTTTATAGAAAAAGTGGACTCCCGATGTTTTTGTTGATTTCCGGCGGCCATATTGGTGCACCAAAACGGTACGCCGATATGGCGTCTCCCGACAAAGGTCTACAAAGGTGCGTGAAACGTTTCGGCAAATACCTCAGAAACTGTGTGCCACAAAGACCTAGCTGAGACTTGGACAAATTATTTATATATTAGTCTTTCATGGCATTTCGTTTCCTTGGCTTCCTCCACAGGACGGTTTCCATTTTTCGTTGTTGTTGCGTAACAGTGAAAACGATCTCTTGTCTAGATATTTCTAAAGCTTGTGAAAAGCTAAACATTTCTGGATAACCGTTCCATTCGTCTGAAATCTTCGGACATTTTCTAATAGCTTAACTCTCATTGAGAAGGGAAGTGCTGCCGTGAGTTGCGATGCGAATAGGACAAAGACAGTATGTAGAATAGTTGAAAGTATGAATACGATCATCATATACATGACGAGAAGAGTTGCGAACAAATAACGTAAAGGCCAAAACTTGTTGCCACCGAGCCATCCGAGCGAAGACGCTCGGATGACGAGGCGGCAGCAGAATAGAGCCGCGCAAAACTGGGTTGCAATGGACAGAAAACCGACCGGGGGAAGGCAGTGCATGGGGTGGGGATTTGACTTTTTTCAAAAATTTGCAATCAAATTCCCTGCCCACGTCACGGGCAAATCATTCCAGTCCTTGACAAAGACTTTAAGCTGGCTAAATAAAGGGGTGGTTTTTGCTAGATAGTGAGGTTTTGTTATGAGCCGCACTAGACGCTTTGGCAAAAGGTAAATACAGTTTACGCTGGAACGGTAGGTAGAGGACCAGGCGACATTACAGTATGTTAAGAAAGGATATACATGGGAATAATACAAGGTCATCAAAGTTTGGGATGATAGGTAAAAGCGGGCTTTCGCAATAATTCCCACACTTTTCGTTTTTTTTTTGAGACGAAATCAATATGTGGTTTCCAAGACATAATAATATTACCGATCACTTCCTCTGCAAAGCTGATTTTCTTCTTTAAAAAAGATCCCTCATGACACTTCACAGTTTTACATAGCAGGTTCGCAAAGTCGTAAAGCCACCAGACTGAATCTGAGAACTGACTCTCCCCCGAAACCTCATAAAGTGTTACATGCATGACACCTTTTCAAGAAAATAATCCTTGCAACAGGAAGGGACCAAGAAACGGTCAAATGGGGCAAAAAAGAATTTTATTCCTGTGCAAAATGCGTATGATTTGCTCGCTGGCGATCTATCGTAGACGAACAGCAAATGCTGTTGTGTAACTTACAATTCTGATTCCCGAGATAACAATATAAAAAATACTCGTTGTATTATCTTGAAACCTAGAGAAAAAAATGTCCCGTACAATACTTGAATTGTTCTTACCGTTTAGGCTGTTTAAAAAGACAGAAAACATCCGATGGACTACGACTTCTGCGCAGATCTTAAACTTGAGATCTGTGAAGCCCCATTTACACTACACAAAAAAATGGGTCCGGACCCATAAAAAAGTTGGTACGGACCAGATATTTTTGCCGTGTAAACCTTCCGTACCATGTTTTTATGAAATGGGTCCGGACTCGCTTTTTTCTGGTTTTGGGGCCATAGGCGGCTATGGCCCTAAAACCGAAAAAAAACGAGTCCGGACCGCTTTTCCTGATCGAAAGCGCTGTGTGAACGCATCTTCGTTCCGTACTATCCGTACCCTCTTTTTCATGTGAGCCTGCCGTGCTTTACGGTGGTTTCGCGCATGTGCACTATTCCTCTATTTTCTACACGATGGCGTCGATGGTGTCAAAAACGCAGAAAACGAAAACGATCGTGTGGACTGATGAAGAAGTTGGCCTACTATTAGACGTTTTTGCCGAAGAGACCATTCAAATAGGGCTAGAGAAAGCAAAATGCCCGAAAGACAAAAATGCAGTGTACCTGGAAGTTCAGAAGAAGTTAGAACAGCACGGTAAGTTTTTATGGTAAAATCCTTCCTTCTGACAGTTTTTATCAGGTCACTGTGTTTCATTTCGCTCTAATGCTATTTCGTTTTTCTGGTTGTTTCAAAAAGGAATGATGAAAACTGTCGCGGCAATTACGGACAAATTGAAAAAACTACGTGCAAAATACAAAGATGTGAAGGATAGTGCCAAGAAGAGCGGAAATTCGAGACCCAAGAAGCCCTGGAAGTTCATGGAAAAAATGGACACAATTTTTAAAGATAACCCAACTATTGACCCACCGCATCTGTGGGATAGCAGCTCCAGTGATCACAATCGTGAAGTCGACAATGGAAGCTCTCTAGAAAATGGTAGAGTGTTTGTTCTTGTTGCTGTTGTGTTTTTAGATTAACAATCAAAATATTTTTTGTGCATTTTGTTTAAATAAGCTCTGTTATTTTTCAAATCATACACCAAATGAATATATTCCGTGTATGTTTACTAGATAACCTGCCAGTTAAAAAAAAATAATGAGGATGGGAATGAGAGTTAACTGGAGTTTTTCAAACTGTGTGGTGCATGTACATGTGGCAGTTAATTTTTTGTTTCTGCAGTTAAAGTTTATTTTTCCTTTGTTTTTAGGTATGTGATGTATGATAACGAGTTTTAAACATGGAAAAATAAAAATTTAACTGAAAACAAAAATTAACTGCAACATACTCATTTACTGTTATAATTGACTTTTTGGCAGGAACAGAAACCTCAGAAAATAGCTCAGAACTGCATTCTGAGAAAGAAAGTGATGTAGTCTCAGACACTGATTCTAGTAGTTCTGAAAGGAAGAGATCTAAGTGCATCACAGGTACCACACCAAAAAGTTCCAAGAAAACAAAAGTGGAGAAGTCAATTGAAACAGTGTGTTTGAGTCTCCGTGAATCCTCAGAAGCTGAGATGAAGAGGTAAATACAGCTTCTTAATTAGTTTCAAGGTTTTTAAAATGTTTTAGCAAGAATTAATTTGGAGACTGTGTGCTAATTAAGGATGTGTAGTCAGAATACAAGGGGATAAGAAAACCCTGGTATTTTCGGAAGATAAAAAAGAAAATGTTGTGACTGTTAAAACAATCATAATGGCAGTAATTATGATCATGATGATGGTGATGATGATGAAAAAAATGAAAATGATGTTCATTCTTGTCATTTTTTAGACTCTTGCTGTATCAAGTTTTTTTTTACTGTTTTCTGGCACCCTTCACAGATTTGAAGAAATGGAAGAGAAGAGGCATGAGAGGGAGTTAAAATTTCGACTTGAAATGAGAAGAGAAGAAAGAGAGCATGAACTACATGTCCTTCAAATGATGATGCAAATGAGAGGCTGTAACTCTCAATGGACAACTCCAGGGCAGCCGGAATCTGAATATTCTTTTGATAGACAAACTTATTACCCTTTGTAAACTTGAGTCCAAACTCCAGATGAAGAAAGATAACATCCCAAGAGGGGGCAGTAAAGTTACCATTGTTTACTTTAGTTATCACTGAAGCACGTCAACCTGTGAATTAGCTCGTTAGTGGGAGATGGCCAGTCACTAGAAGCATTGGTGAACAGCTTTGTCAGTGCTGATTGCCCTGCATCCCACTCACCACTAAAGAGTCTGTTCACAAGCAACAAAAACAAGAATAGTTGTTGTTTTTATTATATATATTTTTTTAAATTAAGCATTTATTCGTTGAGTTACCTGGGAACAACCAAAGAGCTGTTTATTGTTTTGAAATTCAATGGGTGGATTGATTGTTGTAAATTAAAACAAACAAGCATTATGAGTATCTTGCAAAACTAAACTAGACAGGTTCTATTTCTGTAATATTTCATTACCTCATGAAATAAATATAACGCAATGCTTTTTTGTGGTGACCATTGTTGGTAACATTTTATTTAAGTCTCTTCCAACATAGCAACGTAAAGAAATGTCACTAATCTCCTGCAGGCAAAAACAAAACAACAACAACAGTTCAGCCGTTGTTTAGTGTTAACACAACATTTCTTTTATGGTGACCATCATTGGTAACATTTACAAATAGTTGGGTCTCTTCTAACATAGTAACATGAAGATATGTCACTGATCTCCAGTTAAATAAAAACAACAACAGTTAGCTGTTGTTTAGTTAATTTTTAAAAGTGCAATGACAATAGCTGGAAGTCTACTCCAATTCCAAGTTTTGGCCTTCGGGTGACATAAAAAAAGCAGCAAGAGTGTCTCTTACATCAGATCCAGGCAGTTCGTCAATTGGTCCATCCTGGATTACTTCCTCCTCGGGCTGTTCAAAACCTTCTTGTAACCACTCTACAAAATATGGTTCCTTTCTCATCTCACAGATGTTATGAATCACACAAGCAGCTGCTACTACCTCGACTGCTCCATCAACCTCCATATCCAGGCGCTTAGAGAATCTTGGAAACCTTCCTTTCCAGCGTCCGAAGGTATTCTCAACTGTCATCCTGGCTCTACTGAGACGATAATTAAAACGCCTCTGAATCCTGGGGGTATTAACATTCTCTGGGTAACCTTTAAGTAGCCAATTTAACATGGGGTAGGCTGGATCTCCCAAGATAACGGGATGAATTTCCTGCCCCAAAATTTCCTCTTTCACATCTGGTGGAAATAACCTCCCACTACACCCCAGAGCGTACAGCTGTGAGTTCGAAAAGACCCTTGCATCATGTACACTTCCTGGCCACCCTACAACAATATCACGGAATAGGTAACTACTGTCAACAAGAGCTTGCATCACAATGCTGTGGTAAGATTTTCTGTTGATGTAACTTGCATGATTTTGCTGTGGTGTTGAAATTGGTATATGTGTGCCATCGATTGCTCCAGCACACATGGGAAACCCCCATTTCTCCTTATAATTAGCTATCACGCGAGTAAGTTCATCTCCTTTAGCAATTGACATATACTTTGGCTTAAGTTTTCTCAACACTGAAGCGGCTACCTTGCGGATGCAAATGCAAACAAAACCCCTGGATAAACCAAACAGGTTAGAAAGCGTTCTATAACTTGCGGTTGAAGCAATGAAGTACAAGAACAGAGCCACTTTCTTTTCTACTTCAACAGCCTTCCTCATCTTTGTATCTTGCAATGTCAGTTCTGGTTTAAGTTCTTCAACAAGAAATCGAAATGTCGCCCTGGACAAGCGAAAGTTTTCGTACCATTCTTGGTCTGAAAACTCGTTCAATGCAAGCTGAAACCAAGCACCTGTTCTAGGAAGCTGCCATATGGTTCTCTCGATAGTGCATTGGCTCATTATGATGGCCATTAAAAAATTGACCACTTAAAATTTTTTCCTTCTCCGTTTTCTTCTAAAACGGTTCAATGTTTCTGCGGAGTTTTCCCCTGAAAAGGGAGTCACTCTCCTCCTAAAAGGAAATGGTAAAAGAGTGGCAGCCATAATGGCAGCCATGTTTCTTTCCTTCGCGCACCCTTTTGTGTATTTACCACTGAGCGATAAGGAAAGATACCGAAGGCTCAAATAAAAATCTGGTCCGGACACCGAAAGTCAGCAGTGTAAACAGTGTGCATTAGGGCTCTTTTCAGTCATAAGCCTAACCTGATTGTTATCCGTGTAAACAGTTAAAAAAAATTGGTCCGGACCACTTTTTAATAGGTCCGGACCCATTTTTTTGTGTAGTGTAAATGGGGCTTCAGTCACATGAAAACAATACAAAATGACGGGTACTCCGAAGAGAAAAACAGACTTACAATACTTTATGTCCTGCAAATAGCTATAATGCTAATCTAGGCAGGACAAGACTTTAATTAAATAAAGACGTTATTAAATTACATCAGAAAAAAGAAAAGAAAAGAAATACAACGACATACAGAAAGAAACACCTTACATATAAATTCTAGTACAGGGGATTTTGTTATTTGAAATAGACTAAAATTACAACTGGACTTATATACAACATATCAGGTTAACTTCATAAAATATTCTATAAGATAATATTAGCATTTAAATAATTATGTTCATTACCTACAACCCCGGACAAAACTGTTGAGACAATTCCATCTATTTTCTTACTTTTGCGCCCTACTCCCGTCTCCCCTAAACACAGAAAGTAAACCCCCTCCCCACCCCCTATTCAAAGTTGCCTTGGTCTAAAAACCAACGTGTATAATTGCCATGCTATCCTAAACAACTTTGGATAAGGGGAGGGGGGAAATCGGGCATTCATTTGGCGGAGGTTTCAGTTTTTGCCGGGATGACTGGAAAAAATAGGCATTTTCGCGATTTGTCTCAACAGGTTTTTTCCGGGGTTGTCTGCGGACTGTTTTCGGTATTCTTTAACTAATTTCATAGCAATTACCTCAATTTATAGTCCTCTTTTTTATTCAAATTGATAAAATCCATTGCTTCAGCATACTTTTTATTTCTTTCTGAATGCGAAATAAAATTTTTACAGTAAAAAATTGAAGTGATAACACTCTGATTACATGATCTGTCAAATGACATTTACTCTGGGACGTTACCATGGGCTGACTTTCAACGGCTTACGTGTCCGTAGACGCTTTGCCTGCTCAAATGATGACATTTATATGTAATTGCCAGACAAAATGGATCTCTCGAGAACTTCCGATAGTGACGAATCATTTTCAGGAGGCTCGGAATTATCTCATGAGTCACTAGGTGAGAGGAAGGTTAGTGCGCTTATCTGGTCACTTACAGTCACGCGAATTTGGCTGATTTTTCCATCCCGCGAGTAATTTGCCTTAGCAGTGATTACGTTGTTCGCCAAGTGCAGTGCAAAGATCCTACACTTAATAGGACAACATTGCCTCAGTTACAGCAAATGTGGAATTGTGTACGAACGGGAATGTGGTATGATGGATCTCTCATTTCTCCACGCAGATCCCGCGGGAACAATAACGGGAAATCCCTTGATGTGTAAGGTGCTTTGATGAGCTTGTTATGCAACAAAAACGGAGTAGTTTTTCTCGCAGACGGTTAACTTAATGAATAAAGTACAGCAGAGGAAAGAAACATCGGTTAACGACGGTTAACAACGGTTAACAACTTTTCTGAAGAAAAACAACAGTTAGACTATCAGTTTAATTTCCTTTAATATATTCTGTTAACCGCTGGAATAAACATGTGCATGCCTGTTAATCGTTTATTTCATGCGTTTACGGTGCTTTCAAGCATTTTCCGTAGTATATAGAACCTTTTTGTTGATTTTCAAGCATCAACAAGACCTTTTTACTTAAGGGAAAACTTTTTGACACTGGTGTAATTGTCATGAAATGCGCTGTTTTTTTTTTTGCCACAAAAGAACTGCCATCGCCTGACAACATGTTTTCGCTGTATTTGTGATCAAAGAGGCATTGCTTTCCCTACACATCCTATTTCTACCCATTTTGGAAGTTCTTCATTAATATTTGTTCTTTTGGCCTTGGTTGTCATAGAAAAATTAACGGTTTTATCGGCATGGATTGTATTATTTTGTCAAGTAAATAATCTGGTATATATGTTGTAAATTGTTCTAATTACACACTCGGTAAACGCGGGTATTGTTAACTCGGTGAAGCTTACTTTTCCAGTTCTACTCTAACTGCATGGAGAAAGTTGTCAGTGCAACTAAGTATCACTACCTCTAAGGGGTATTTTTAACTGCTCCGGCGCATTCCTGAGTCCTCGTGCATGACCTACACACCACGCACTATTATTTTTGAACAGGACAGTTGTCCTGCGCAAATATAATAAATAACCAGTCTTATCCAATTTATTCGACATGTAAGCACAATTAACGTTGGTAAAAAGGCCGGAGGTAAGGCTCCTATTAAGATATCGTACTTGTGACACACAGTAACTTCTTAACCGTGGCCACCAACCACAATTAATTTCAATACTTTTTCTGTAAACAGCATGATTTCTTTCTCATTTAGGTATAAGGTTTCTAATTTA